GAAAAAAAGGAAAAGCATTTTACGACTGTGATGTCACAGGTATCCCAGTAATAAGCCTTACCGAAATCGAGAAAAGGGACTGGGCCCTAATTAATCTAATTAAGAAAGAATTAAGAAATGGTGTCCAACACAAAAAAAGATCATATTAGTAATATTAGTACTATTACCAAGTTTGAGCGTGTTTGGTTGAATACCTATTGCAAGTAGCAAGCTTTAAAAAGTCGTAAAAATACTGAAAGAATGCATGTATGGGGTTTGAGGACAGCTTCTCCTCCAAAAAACCATACGTTCTCCGATTTTGCGATCTTTCTAAAGCCTGCTATTCGATCAGTATTTGACCAAATATTCTCAAACTCGATAAACGTAATAGCTTTCGTGTGAGCTTTCATGTGATGGGGTTTTTCTTAATCTAATAAATATTTCTACACTTGTTCGCATTTGCTTTGCGCAATTCCATAAATGCTAACAGATCCTCTTTAGCTCGAGCGCAATGTCCTCTTTACTTTCTTTCCTTTTTTATGCAAGAATTAGAACAATATACTATAAGCGTTGATAAGTAATTCTACATTACCATCCTGAAGATTTTCTTGACTGGAATCCTCAAGAAGATCTGACTCATGATTCGCCGGCTTTGCATTTGCTATCATCACTGAAGCCAGTACAACAAACATGGCAAGACAAATGAAGCTACCTTGGGGCATTGTGGGAACTTGGTTTCTTCCAGATAGAGTGAAAAAAGAATTAACAACTGATTAATTGTACATCAAATCAAGGCAAGGCAAGGCAAGGCAAGGCAAGGCAAGGCAAGGCAAGGCAAGGCAAGTAACGAATATTTTTTCTTACTCTTTCTCTTTCGCTGCTTTCTTGATTCTCTTCTGTTATCTCTGCTTGGTGGCGAGTGCTCAGTTGTGATTGAGATCCATGCCTAGCTAGCGCCTTTTATGTGCTTAACTTTAATTGTATTCACTCAATTAAAGGGATAATTGATTGTAAATGGCCTGCTTTTTATATTCATATTACTGGTAATTTCCAAATGATACAATAGACCTCTTCACCTTAGGCCAATTGTTCATTGCACATCTGAGCATGTGCATCGAAGCTGAAATTGAGCCCGCGGTGAATTTCTAGCTTTCCCGCCATGTTCCCATGACAATCATGACTTTTCGTATTCGAAAAATTTCGGGTACGAAATGTTCTCCATCCACGCTAATACGGCTAGTCGGCGTTTTCAAATTGTTCCGCTCTGGAGACCGTATTCGAAAGCAAATGCATATCTGAATGATCCTATTTTTAATTCTCGTCATCAAAGGGGATTCTAGTAAAGGAGATCTTCATGGTAATATAGATTTCAAATTACTTAACAACGCTTGTACCCTATTATCCTAAATATTGCATAAGTAAAGAAAGAAAATAACGAGGACATTACGCCCGAGCTAAAGAGAATCTGTTAGCCTTTATCGGAATTGCGCAAAGCAAATGCGAACAAGTGTAGAAATATTAAATTTAATTAAGAAAAAACCCATCACATGAAAGCTCACACGAAAGCTATTAAGTTTATCGAGTTTGAGAATGTTTGGGCAAATACTGAGTGATTAGCAGGCTTAGAAAGATCGTAAAAATGAGAGAACGTATTGTTTTTTGGCGGAGAAGCTGTCCTCAAACCTCATACATTCTCTTATTTTTACGACTTTTAAAAGCTTGCTACTCAGTAGATTTTTATCGAAACATGCTCAAACTTGGTAATAGTACTAATATTGATATTACTAATTGGATCTTTTCCCTCCTCAATTTCGGAGAGGCTAATTAAACAAGAAGTTTTGACCGATATTTTATTTTGACGACACCCTCCTTTTTACAGAAGAGAAAAGAGCGACTGTGAGCTGCAGTTGCGGAGGTACGACTGGAACATACTGGTTCCAAATCGGCAGCTGTCCTTCTAAATATGTGTATAGAGGAAAATGTGGCACCTTTTATGGAGTAGGTTGTTACTATGAATAAATCGTTGTAATACGAATTAAATAATACGATTTAAGAAGAAAATGGATATCAGAATAATAAAAGATAGATAGTTCGCAAGGACAGAGAGAAAGAGAGTT